ACTGACTTCCTGTCTATGAATTTAATCCCACCACCTATGAGTTAGAGTGCGATCAAATCCTGCCTGGTCAAGTTTCACAACAGATCACTCACCAGACTTCAGGAATTGGAATTCTGAAATTCCACCAGACATCCCAAGAGCTGTACATGTTGCATGTAGCATGCTGTACACAGGATGATGTTTCTTGTTATTTTAATTAGATGCATGTGGAAATAACCTAGACTAATCTTTACATAAGCAAAGACATTAAGACAAGACCTGTTAGACATGCAAGCTTGTTCCTTTCTATACATTTTATACTGTCTTGCCAAGAATATTTTAAAATACCTCAAGGCTAGAGCATTGACTACTTCATAGGAAGACCATTCCAGAATCTTACCAACACCACCTCTAGGAGTATGTTTCTCTTACTACTCAGTTTCTTGGTTTCATCTGCTGGACTCACATGAAAACACATCCTTCTCTTTATTTATACACCTCAAACACTTGGAGCCTGCACTATGTGTGGCCATGTACAGTACAGCTATTTAGGAAGAACAGGTAATTGTTTCATTAGTGGTCTGCTTTGTGTTAGGTAAATAAAATGAAACAACATTTCATATACACAACAGTCCTTTCACAAAGGAACTGTGATGTTGTGTAACTTCTTTCTATTATTTCATTTGAAACAACAGGAATTACACTAACAATAAAATGTTGTGATATGAAATCCCATCAAAATGCTATAGCAAACATAGATGGTAAATGATACGTTTGACCTATATAACTCTATAGCATTCTTAGATTTACTACACGTTTTCCCACTGATAACTTGATTTGGAATACCACTTGCACAGTAATACCAATGAACACACACAAACGAAAACCTGTGTCACTATTAGATTCACAATTCCTGTCTCTTCCTGGCTACCAAGAACACTGTGCAGTTTCAACAAGGCTAGGTGAAATAATATTTAATATGCTGCTGGCATTAAACACGGTATTCTGATAACAGAAACATCAATAAAAACAAGTATATACTGCCAAGCACTACTTCACCATTTTTTGGAAAGCATAAACACAATCACACTTACAGCAGAGGTAAGACAGTTCTGCATATTGAAGCAACAGCACTGGGATTCCTGTGCCCTGCCTACAGAAAAATTAAATACAGCTTGAAGTGTGTGTGTGCACATGCATGTGTGTGTAAACTACACTGTATATGGTAATTAAATAAAATTGACAAGCAACTCAGCAGAAAAGGCCATGACATAGTTTGACAGTGCAAACATACCAGTTTTCCTGAAGGTATTTTAATAAAAACCAAATAATCCCCCAAATGACCTTAATTTTAGTTTGTACATTCCTCTGGACTTATCAGAGACAGAACAGCAATATGCTGTGCTGTGTTAAGCAACAAAACTTTAATCTTTCTATCTAAGATTTTGGTAAAGGGAAACCCACTGAAAAGAGAACTTATAAACTGTTAATACATTAGAAAGCAGGAAGCTCAAGGGAGAAAAGTAAAGCAGCAGGATTTGATATTATTTCTCCCCAAAACAGGGGAAAAGGAACATTAGTTTAGTGTAATTCTAGAGCAGGAATCACTCCAAAGGGTTATAGAGATGTTAATGGGGTGGAAAAATGACACCCATTTTTCTTAATTTAAGAATACTCGTACAGAACATTTTTCCTACACAGGTTCATGCCAGGTAGAACATACTCTCTCTAGTCTAGGACACAATTTTGAAAACCTCTAGAGAAGCTGAAAAATGCTCCAAAAAGTTTCATTTTTACTCAAATTCCAAATAGAACCTTGAACTGTTAATCTTAATTTTAACTAATCACTGCAAAGTTTGTCAACTGATCTTATGTTCTGAACAACACATCAGTTTGTGTTTAGTATGAATAGTTTTATACCAAAATAAGTACTTTTGCCAAAGAATTGTATCTAATGGGACATACCAAAGGGGACCATCACTGAACCTGAGGATTAGATCCGAGAAAAACAAAATTCTTTTTCTATTATGCATTAACAGCTGGCTTTTGCAAGTTAACAGTCAGGTTACTTCAATTTTTTGATTCAGGTCTGGAACATTAAAAAAAAAAATCATCATGTTTCTTACATCCAGGGACTCTCAGTTTCCTGAGTGTATAGCTTTAGAGTTAAATAGTAAGTATGGGACTAGGTTACTACAAAATATATTACAATATATTACAAAAGATTTCAGAGAACTTTTTGTGACATAAATGGTGTGAGATCTCAGTACTCCTACCAAAAATACAAGTGTATAAAACAAATTACTTAAAGATAGTCTATATTCAATCCAGTCTTTCGCTGGCCTTGGTTGTGAAATTGAAACTCATTTAAGCTTATTTCAACACTCATGATACTCCACACAAAAAAAGTATTTTTTTTACTGCCTTTTTTTTTTTTCCCCTACTTCAAACTTTACCAAATGAGGAATCTAACCAAACTGCTACAAATCCCCAAAATACTCTCTGTACCTCTCAAAGTACAGAGCTATGTGGACTCTCTTGGCCATTTTTATTAGAGGAACTAAAAATCAGAAAATGAACCAATAAAGTCAATCTTTCTTCATAATATAGGAGTAATGCAGTAGCAAGAAATAAAATAGGGAAATGGAAAATCTCTATAGCTCATTAACTCTTCCTCCAAATTAAGTATTAGTGGCAGCAACAAATGACAAACAACTCATGATTCTGCTACTCAAGGAGAGGGAATAGAAAAGAGGAAAAGAGGGGGAATAGAAAAAGATGAACTTGTAACTAAAGATGCGAGAAAGTTTATTTGCTAGGATTGAAAAATTTAATGTCTCACCACACTAGCTTATAAAAGAGAATGAAAATACTCTGTAGACTCTTTCCAGAAAGCAGTCTTGGGGCATTATGTACAGCTCTAAAATAAAGCCCATTTAAACAAAACTTTTTCACAGTTCAAATGATTAGAAGACAGAAAATCTACCACTTTGTGTTCTATGCGTGTAGTAAATACTGGCTAAAATAGGAGATTTAAAGAAAATTCCTATGCATATGACTTTGTCGAAATTGCTCTCATCTTCAGAAGATGTTTCTGTGTTCTATCATCATAGAATCATAGAATGCTTTGGGTTGGAAGGGACCTTTAGAGGTCATCTAGCCCAGCCCCCCTGCAGTGAGCAGGGACAGCTTTAACCAGATCAGGTTGCTCAGAGCCCCGTCCAACCTGACCTTGAATGTTGCCAGGGATGGGGCCTCCACTGCCTCTCTGGGCAACCTGTTCCAGTGCTTCACCACCCTCATTGTAAAAAATTTCTTCCTTATATCCAGTCTAAATCTGTTCTTCTTTAGTTTAAATCCATTATTCCTAGTCCTGTCACAACAGGCCTTGCTAAAAAGATTCTCCCCATCTTTCCTGTAGGCTCCCTTTAAGTACTGAAAGGCCACAATAAGGTCTCCCTGCAGCCTTCTCCTCTCCAGGCTGAACAGCCCCAACTCTCTCAGCCTGGCCTCACAGGAGAGGTGCTCCAGCTCTCGGATCATTTTGGTGGCCCTCCTCTGGACTTGCTCCAACAGGTCCATGTCCTTCTTGTGCTGAGGGCCCCAGAGCTGGAGGCAGTGCTCCAGCTGAGGTCTCACCAGAGCGGAGCAGAGGGGCAGAATCCCCTCCCTCGACCTGCTGGCCACGCTTCTTTTGATGCAGCCCAGGATACGGTTGGCTTTCTGGGCTGCAAGCGCACATTGCCGGCTCATCTATCAGTACCCCTGAGTCCTCCGCAGGGCTGCTCTCAGTCTCTTCATCCCCCAGCCTGTATTGATATTGGGGGTTGCCCCGTCCCAGGTGCAGGGCCTTGCACTTGGCCTTGTTGAACCTCATGAGGTTCACACAGGCCCACCTCTCCAGCTTGTATGACTGGTAAAGGTCCACATTTTTTATTCTAAAAACTACATCACAGAATCTATTTCTAGTTTAAGACAACCAGAAATTGTTCAGTCAGAATGCATAGTTTAAATTAAAAAGCACTGATTGATTTCTCAGCTTATTGTTGCATAAACGTTAGCTTCTATTCAGCTAAAATAGGAAATCCCTGCACTTTATTTATGGCTACTTACAAGTGCCTCATACACCATCTGAAGGACGGAAGGTTATTTTTCTTAATTTCTATCACATTATTAATGTCTAGCTAGACTGTCACAGTAACTATTATTTTGCAGTATCATGATGTACCAATTTTCAATGATTAAACACTTATTTCCCAAACTGGGTTGTATAACAATATTCCCGTTAAACAAAGATTATTTAATATTGCGAGCAAGTCCATATTCTGAACTTCTTATCTCCACAGATACGTACATCCTAAAAAGTGGCACTTGGACTAACCAGAACTGGCAAAAATGCTACTGTATTGGGACATTGAAGTACCTACAGTCATACTACAAAAGTTCTGCTTTTGAAGTAATTTCTTGCAGAATTTGCATTAGTTACATTTTCATATTTACGATTGTATGATATTTTATCACTATCAAATACTATGCAAAAAAAGAAAAGAAAAAAACAACACCAGAAATTGAAAACAAATATACAGTTAAAACAATCCATTCATAATATTCTCCAAAGTTAACAAATACACAGACTGAAAACTTAACACGTACTTTTTGGTGAATGTTTAACATGCCAAATTAAGCAAAAGAGTACTCCAATAAACAGCTTTGACACAATAAGATCAGAAATTATTCTTTTCAATTATTTTAGTGACTAATTATAATTCAATAAGAATTCTCTAACCCATCATGCTTTTAGTTCTGGGTAAACTTACCATAATCATCACCACCCAACATCACTAAGTGTAATTTGGAGCAATGTCCATAATAGCCTATTAAAAGACTTCCATTGACATCAATCAATTTTAGAAAGAACGTTCCTACCCGCCATGTATCTCCTTGTCATCACTTTCTTAATTTTCACAATGTACATAATGTAAAAAAATACAAAATAGGAGTGCTTTTCAAGAAAAACTTACTCTGTAAAAAGCAGTCGTCAGTGGTAGCAATGCTGCAGCGATGCTATATTCTTCTGAAGATGAACAATCCTTCAAGAAAAGCATACAAAGAAAATAAGCAAAACCATTTTCAATGTTTGCATTACAATTTCATTTCTGCCTTAGGGAGTCCCTATGATACCTTTCCTATACACAATGTAACTTCTAATCACTAGATATCATGTAAGAATAATATATATTTATGTGTGCGCATGTGTGTGTACATATACATATCTTCCCTCAATTTTTGCTAGATAGGTATTGCTATGATTCTTCCTATTTAAGGAATTTATTAGCAGCTTTCTCACTCCCATGTCTGAAACATTATTTCACAAATATAGTTTACATATGAAAAGGAAAGCGTTCCTTGTTTAGGAAACAATAAAAAGGTAGCTTGCTTCCATTTAGGTCAACAGCAAATCTGACTAAAATAGATGCAATGTGATGAATGTACTTTCAAAAAGTTTACAAAGAAATTGACATATGAAATAATAACCTCCACAGTCTCTACGAAAGTTTGGCAGAAAGTTAATTTTAAAAGAAGATGAAAACGCATTCTCTTCACAGTCTCAGAATGCCCCATTGAACAGTCAAGTGTGTCATTCGTGTCTCTCTAGGCTCTAAAGGGTATGCCAGAGTAAATCAACTAGTAAATGCACTGATGAAAATAGTGATTTTATTATGGAAGACTTTTAAAAGAAACCAGAATTGGAATGTAACTTAGTATTTAAAAAACAAACTACTTGAATTTTTAAGACTTTTTTAAAAACATAAAACAAAAAATACTCAACAAGAGTTAAAAAAGACACTTTTTTTAAAGTGACTAGATTTTTTTCATTAGCTCTTTTTGCCAACACTGAACAACACAATAACACACATACTTACTAGGCAAATGTATCACCGTTGCACCCGTGGATGACGAATGGCAAAACATTTCCACTTTGAACAATTCATTTCAATATTTTTAGCATTCATTCTTACAACAGGCACCCTCCAACTCAAACCACACTCCTATTAGCTATCTGTAACACCTGACCAAATTCCAAAATTGAAATATCTCAAGTGTTCCTCTGCCAGACTTTTCATTTGTGCCTTCATCTCATATCAGAGTTCTTTAAAACAAAGCAACTAGCAAAAAACTTGGCACCAGCCAACTGTGATAGCAGAAATACAAAATCTGCATTACAAAACCAATCATGTTAAGGATCATTAGGATGTTGTTTGTATTCATCTCACTCTTCTTTCTTAAATGGCTGCTGAGTGATTATGGACTGCAGGTTGAAAACAATAGATCAAAAAACTCATCACAAGACTATTTTGCTTCTCATTACTTTAAAAGTCCACTTCATTGTTTGTGATTTTCCCATAACAAATACTTAATCTTCTATTACTTTAATCAAGCTCACCTAAACAGAATATCAATAACCATAGACAGTTAAATATAGTAGCATTTAGAAAACTACTTACATATGTATTCTGAAAAGGTGTACAATAAGTTCATAGATGTGAAGCTTTATTTCTGCACAGAGTTACTGAAAGTTTTAACATTTCTAACTCTGCATGAATGCATGTATGCTAACTGCACATGGAAAACAAAAGGTGTGCAAGTGCTCATACTTCATAACACATTCCAATCTAGTAGAGGAAAATAGGAAGAAAAATGGACTCTAAGAAACTCAATATATGTTTTAATGATGCCTTTCAGTACTGTGACATGTATATAAAAAAACTGAAATTAGTTTGCAAGATGACAGAACAGTAAGACTAAAGGACATAGCCTCAGCTGCTTTTCATTTTCAATTTCTGCATTACTTCCTATTGTTATCCATATCCTTAACCCCCATTCAGAATTTAGCAGATGTATGTGTAGTTTAATATAAAGATATGATAAATATTGTTAATATTTTTTTACTTAATCAGAGAACTTCCCATTTAAAATGAGACTTTAGAACCCTTAGGAACGCCTAACAGTTTTCAAAGAAATACGTATCTTATTTCTGTACATGCTTATTTATAACTAGGTATAAAATGATCCATCCTCATTGTTTCAAGTTATCTACTTAATCCCTTAGCTCAAATTATTTGTAAGAGTTTGGCTTTTAGCCAAAATATACATAAAAACATCTTTATAAAAATGAAGCAATGTATCTTCACCTAGAGAGCATTCCATATTTCAAGAGCTAACATATGTCTCAAAGATATATATCATCACCACATAAACAATACAGTAGATTATTTTTCCATTCCTTCTTGCAAATACAAAATTCTCCACATATTCTATGTCAGCAGTACCCCCTGGACTTGCAGTATGGAAGTATTATCTATATATATTTTTTCTTCTCCAGCATATGACAAAAAATGTAAAATGATCTCAGTTAGGAATAAAGTACAATACTGCTGTTTAAAGAATAGTGAAATTAATTAACTGTTTACCTGCTTTGCTGCTGCAAGACAGAATGCCATAGTTAACAGAGATGTTGCACTGAAATCTTAGCTTGTCAATTTTACAGGCAAACCAAAGTACTAGAAATGTCATGTATGTATTGTATGCCATTAATTTAGATGCCTGAAACAAAGCAATCCAGCTGCCTTATATATAATAATGTCTTTACCAATTGTGAAAAACATCTCTTACTACTTCTACAGAAGTAGACAAAGCAAATACCATAAAATAATCACAGCTGTTCCCCCTAATTTGCACAAAATTGAGTGAAGACCTGGCACATTATTCTGGCCTTACTGATCATATATTCAGATAGTTGCTAAACTCTGTAGCAGATTGGAAGTGTTACAGAAATTCACGTACATTTAAAATAGCTTCACTATACTGAATTGACAAGTGAATAATAAAATGAGAATGTTTTTCCTTACATTACTTACTTTGATAATACATGTGATTTACTTTTATGTTCCGCTCAGTTTAAATATGCAGCAAAACACTGGTGGTTAGATATTGTCATTATGTTGCAGAACTGACAGCTAGGAAGTTACAGATTTTGACCGCTTGGATGGACGCATGGGACTGCTAGTATCTGGTGAGGCACCGATGGCTTTTGGAATCTGGTAGGTGGCTTAGGCTTCTGGTACTGGAGAGGAGAGGCAACTCTTTTCCTCATTCTTGACTTCAGAACAAGTACTGACCTGATCTTTTGTTTGGAAAACAAGGTATTGTATGTCATCATTAAGTTGAGATGACCTCCACAATCTGATCCTAGCGATGAACAGCTAAGAAAAGCCACCCCACATCAAGGTTCCTCCTCGATCTGCTACTGAAGGTGCAGGCCCAGATCCAACAGCGCCCTTAAGCACCCTTTGATGTCCCACTGACTACAAGAGCAAGCCGAAGTCAGTGAAGCACAGGGACGGTTAAGCACAAGCTTAACTTACAAGTTAAGCACAAGCTTAACATACCTTCCTAAACAGGCTGCAGTAAATAACAACTCATACTTAGGGATTTCTACTTTCTCTCAGTCACATGATAAAAATCTATGAGGAGAGATATATTAAATATCTGATAACATTTGGAATGCAATTTTCTTTTTAAATCCATCTTGATAGTCTCCTTAATTGTTAGCTGATACAGTATGTTTCCTGTGTTAAACCACATTCTGCTTTGGGCAGTAAGGTTTTCAGACTGACACCGCATTTTTAATAATCTACAGAAATCTGAGTATGCTGAAAACTTGAGACCCAATTTTGCTTTACATTCAGCAGCACTATAAATAAATGGAATTACCCGCAGGCCTGACTATCGCATGAAATTAACATAACATGCAGTGAATGCATTCAAAGCTAAACATGGCAGCTCTTGATCCATACTTTTTTTGGCAGTACAGTATGATGCACGTATGGTCTATTAAAAATACTGCTAAAGTAACCCTCAACACTGCATTGTCCCTCTTGAGAAGTATTGAATGCCCTCAATTTTCATGAAGACCAAGAACATTGATCACCATGCAGGACTAAGCTCATAATGAATCAAGAAAAAAATGCCTGAAACTTCACACTCATATGTGTTTTTAAAGCACTAAGACAAGAATTGTTAAGTCGGCATGTGTAAGGTAACCATAAACTACGTGCAGTACATTGGACACAAGTTACAGGTGAAATATTGGTTCCAAATTCAACGATTTCAGTGGTGCCAGGATTTAATCCTTATTGTTACAGATATAGTATATGGGCAGTTTTACTGAATCTTTTTTTCTTGTCACCAAAGGTGAAATCAAACCTTACTGAGACAGCTACAGTTTTGTTAAATGCAACTCTTCTAGGACTTGAGAAACAGGATGGAAGACAGATGTACCTAGGAGGCCCATAGAGCTGACTATCTGTGGACTTACCTAGCAGCAGAACTACAAGAACACACTCAAAACTTGGAAGATACTGCCTTAGGTAATTCTCATTACTTTTAAAACTTCTAATTTTGATAAGGATATATACAGTCTTTCAAAATTATTAACTCACAAAACCCCTCTTCCTTCATAAATGACCCTAGCACATTTTATGTTACTCATTAACACAAGCTTTTAATTTAACTTTTGTTCTACTTAAACACTGTTGCAGTAATTCTCAGTAAATAAAAACAAAAAAGTACGCTCTTATTATCTATTGTTTCCAGGTTAAACATTGACCAGAATCACACTTTGGGCTTTTGAGGAGCAACTTCTCGGATTGCTACCTGGTTACTATCTAACAGCAGTAATTCAACACAAAGTCCGTATCAGACAGACTTAACCTGTGCTCTGAATTATGCCAGATGTAATACTTCCTTCATCCTCTAAGACTATTACGTTCACACAAGTGCAAACACAGAAGACAAAGGAACTGCACCCAACCTGGAAAAATCCTCACCAATTTGTACCGTCCTTGTGGTCTTTCTGCCTGAGTAGTAGCCTTCATAATGGCCATTTCATTAAGGAACCTATCATGTCAGCAACAGGATGCAAGATGCTGTAGGTCTCCCATTCCAGGTAGCAGGAGATCCAATTCCATTTTAGAAGGATTTTACTTCCTGAAGAGCATCATGTTTGTCTTTACCTGGCCCTGAATTC